CAGTTTTCGTGTGTTATTTCATCACTAAAACCACTTCTGAGAAGTTTTGAGGTGAAATCAGCTGCGTAGATTTCCAATATTGACAGTTTAACGAGAAGCGGAACAAAAATGTGTTTGAATATTTTCGGAGTTGAGGAGCTCCACGAGAAGCCTGCTGTGACCCGCGGGAGGAGCGTGTGAGGCCGGCCGGCCGCCCGCTCACAGAGCCCTCTGCTCCCGCCGTCACACAGACCGCTGCAGCAACAACGGCAGAGGAAAACACAGCAGGAAGGTTTTCATACCGCTTATCTGTCTTTACTTTACAACGCTTTAACTTAAAAAAGAGAAAGCCGTGTTGGTCGCTGGTGTGTGTGTCGCATTGAACATCACGTCTCGGCAGTAGTGTGTGGCGTCGCTATGACGACCTCTGGGTGCTAGAGGGCGCAGAGCCGAGTAGAGTCGAGTCTATCGATTTGCGCTATGGTAGCATTTTTCTGCAAGGCAGCACAGACTTTGAACCTGAAAATGAGCAGAACACCACCTCTTTATAAGGTGAATAGCAGCATACAAGTGTTGTCACATTAGGCCACTTTAAGAGAGTAACCTCTGACCCTGAGCTGTAATATGATGTTTATTTTAAGAGAGGCCTCCGATTCGTCCATGTAGATGGCAATCATGTGTCTAAAATTGTGATTGGTTAAGGGGCGGGAGTAACAGGCAGAGCAGAGCGGCGTTGTGCTGAATGTGTTTCCTGTGGAGAAGAAAGAAAAGTTTAATTTAATTAATGTACAGAGAGCAGCCCGGCTAGTTTATAATAAGTTTCTCACACTGCTACCCAGTTTTGTGTGTTGTACTGTGTGTGATGTTAGTCTGCAGATAGCAACAGGTTAGCATCATCGCTAACAGCAAGCTAACGTCGTGCTAACACTGAAGCCCCTGCCAGACAGCGCCGCGTGCGACCGGCTGTTAACGTGATGCTTGGAGGGAGACCGTCCTGTGCCTGTTTTCACCTTCATCTTTCTGAGAGGACTGAAAAACGTGAGAACAGCGAGAGTCACCTGGACGATGCTGTGAAACTGGGCCTCAACGTCACTTAGAAGGGTAAACATCGCAACAGACGCTCCAGCGAGCAGCATCACAAACCCTGCAGGGTCGCGACGAGTCGCCGGACTGTCTGGAAAACTTCAGTCAGCCAGAAGTCTGCGCAGAGGAGAAACCGCCGGGCCTTTCTGTGGTGAGTGAAGGCATCTTTTATCATCCTGACTCTGCTGCTGGTCTCTGCAGGGCAAACTGTTGTGCTGGACCAGAGGCCTGTTTCAGAAAGCGGGTTTAGTGAAAACTCTGAGTAACTTGAGCCCGAGATGAGGGAAACTCTGAGTTTTCGGTTTCAGAGAGCGAGATCAGATAAACTCTAGGTCTGTAACTCCGGCAACTGATGCTGTGAACCTGACCTGCTCGGGAGGAGGTTTATAACCAAGGCTGAGTTTCTCTCTGACTCCTCCTGCAGAGCCTTCAGACTGTCCACATCAAAGCACATACTGGAACACAGTTAGGTCTTTAGAAACATCAAAATTATGTTAAATAGGCTATAATTTTTTTTTTTTTTCCCAAACATGATCTTGAACATGACGCTTTGTCATCGATGTTTGGACAGAGAGTTATCTTTGGACATCGTGGATTTATCCTCAGCACAGAATCAAATCTATAAACTACAGTGACTCTGTGGACATTAAGGCAGCAGTCAGGCTGGCAACAGTTGCACGAAAACACTTACCGTGAGCTACAGTATGCTGTTGAAACTGATCAGTGAACAGTAATCTCTCATCTTGTAGTCGCACTGATTGAACCTTCCTGTCGTAGTTATCAGCTGGATATGATGTGAATATCTCTGAGTGAGGATGACTGTTCTGCAGCTGAAACAAATAAATGTAGTTTAAAAGTGAGTTTTTCATTATCTGATAGTCTGAATGTGTTTTGACAGCATTTCATAAAATACAAAATGAGCCAGGTTTTATTAATGTGACAAAGACGTCTAAAATTTCACAGTCAGTTTGAACCTAGACACATTTTACATTGCAAAAAAATAACAGCCATACAGTCGGACTGTCACTTTACAACCACAGGTCCATGAGGAGCCTAAACTGTGTCTAATCTGTTCGATTAATCTTTTCATCTTCAGTTATTGCAGCTGAATAAACAGGCCTGTAGCTGTTTAAAATGAATAAACAGGCCTGTAGGTGTTTAAAATGAATAACAGGCTGCAGGAGAATTTGAGCTCTTCATCATTCATTAAGGAAATTCCAGTCTGGTAAATGATGAATGCTGTATAAAATGTAATATTGTTAACGAATCGATCGGACCAATCGGACCAATCAGGGTCCGCGTTCATATTTCTAGCTCCAGCTGATTAAAATGGAGGCTCCGCCTTTATTTACCCGTTGCCATGGTGATTCGTAGTAGCGGAGCTCCATTGATGAGGCTTTTTCTTCATCCCCACGCAGGCGTTTCCATCAGATTCAACATACTCAGAGCTGATCAGCTGTTCTGAAACGATAAACCCGGAGTTTGACAGCTCAGAGTTTGTTGAACCTGCTTTCTGAAACGGGGCCCAGGCTACGGATGACGGCTGTTGTCATATAGCCACTTTCATTTTGCCTCATTATTCGGGATTATTAGGCCAGTTTGCTGCTCGCTGCTGTATGAAAGGTGGAGCTGGGAATGGGATAAATGTTGGCGGACAGTCTTTCCATTATGATCGCAGGATCTCTGGATCCCTAAAACCTTGTCTGCGCGCGTCCTTGTTGACTTCATTGGTGTTGAGCTCACTGCTCTTTGCTTGTGTAGGCTCATCTGTTCTGAGCTTGGTTGTGTCGGCTTAAATAATAAATTCTTAATTTAGGTTTGTGACGGTGATACTGTAACTTGTGTGAATAAACTCCTCCCTCTCGCTGTGTTTTGTGGAGCCATGCTGTCTGTTGACATGTTAAAACACAGAAGCAAGAGAGAGAGTATTGTAGTTTTACTGGTATCTGTGTTTTGAAATAGTTGGTGCCATTTTTACATAGAAATATAACACTGGTCAAATCGGTGGTTGAAAAATGGGATATTCACGAATATCTATCGTAGATGTTTGTAAGAAGAATAACACCAAACTTGTGAAATAGTACGTTAATAAATAATTACACAACTCTATACAGACACATATCGTATATTTCAATTTGAATTGAAATATATATTTAAGCTCCATGATGTCTGTAATCTTGAGTTGTTCCCAGTAAATGTTTTGTTCCTCCCCGTCAATGCACTCCTACAAATAAAAGCTGTACTTGTCTTTTTAAGGAAAAGGTCAACTTGCCTATTTAAAGAACAATTGCCCAACACACAGAGATAACACATCAAACAGGATTTTTATGGACTGAACTGAACTGGTTTTAGGTCTGTGGACATTAAGACAATTTTAACTGTAAAATAAGAAACCAAAGGAATTCAGTCTGTGATTCCTTAACTCATATTTTTACGTAGTATTGAACTAGTCTGTATGCTGCATAATAGAATTTATGGGTTTTGGTTTAGTGGAAGGATTTTCAGTGGCCACCCCTAGGAAACTTTTCTGAGGGCGCCACTGGCTGTACTGTAGCCTTGTTCTTCTCTTGACAAATGCCGGGCTGATGTTCACAACTTTGTAATATTAAAGAGCATAATATTACAAAGTGTATGTCCTCATTATAATATGAGGTGTAACTTGTTATTGTGCATCGCAGGTGAAGTTACGCAGTAATCCAAAAGTAATGTAACTAGTTACCTTCAGCAGTGAGTAATCTAGTAAAGTAAGGTATTAGTTTAAAGGAGCATTATGGAGTTTCCAGCGGCCACTAGCGGTGCGGATTGCAACAAGGCGTGTGCTCGTACGCGTGCTCGCTTGAACTCATGAATAATCCGAAACACTTTCATACAGAAATCCTGCAATAAACGCAGGCTGCGGCTTTTCTCCAGACATGTTCAGGCTCCGTTACTTCAACGTTCCCGTCTCAGAGGCAGATCAACACCGGCGCCGTAACGTTACTTCATTCAGCGCAGCGAACAACCAACACTTTGACATGATACCGGTGGTAGACAGGATGGTAACATGGGTCGCGTTAGTTGGTGAACTAATATGGAAAGCGTTACAACTTTCCACCGGATAAGTTAACGTTCGACTCTGCATGTTCACTTTGTTCTTACTGGACATCATCTGAACCTGTTTGGTCTGATGGGCTTCAGCACATAAACCTTTGTTGTTGTTTTGGATCCTTACGTGGAGCCTGTTTTGCTGGGAGCGCGCACAGGGCTGAATCCTTCTTCTTCTTTGAGTTTTTACGGCAGCTGTCATCCATTGCGTTGCATTACTGCCCCCTTCAGGTTTTATTTACCCTCAGCTTTCATTCATACTAAATCCGCATAACTAATCCAGTCGCCCTCAGAAAAACACATATCCATTTCCTACCTTCCTCACTCTCTCCGTACACTAATAAACTTCTTACTGCGTTATCTACCCGTCCTATTCAGGGCTGAATCCGACCCGGTGACCTCCCATTTATCGCAGAATAGTGTCTGATGCAAGCAACAGAGAAAACAGAGTTTTGAGCCTATTGATAATAAGGCAATGAAAATTTTATTCATAGATAAGTAATTTCATTGAAAAACTACATATAGCTCCTTTAAAAAAAGTAACTAGTAGGCTAATGTGTAATCCATTACTTTTTTTGAGTAACTACCCCCGACACTGGTGACGAGTTTGGAGAGAGAACGTGTTGGTTCGGCGGCGCCGCTTTGTGAACGGGCTTTTTAACAGGAAAATGAATTCAGTGATTTTAAAAACCTTTTCCTTTTTAATTAACTGTCATTTCTCTCCTGACACTCAGTTTTTCTGAACGTCTCATTAAAAAAAAAACAACTTCCTGTTCGTGTTTTCCCTGAGCAGTTTTGTGCAGCGATGTGATTTGATTTTGCGTAATTTCCACTGAAAAACGTCAGTCGGTCAGTTCCGTATTAATAAAACTAGCTTTTAATGATTCTTTAGGTTCTGTGCAGAAACGCACTACAAAGATTACATCTTATCAACATAGAAAAACGCCGTCTGAAATCCAGTATTTGTTTCTAAATAAAAGTCAGGGGCCTCTGCGGGGCCTTTTGTCTGTGTTTCATAGTTTTCTTTGATATCCAGGACGTTTCAGAGGAGAATCCAACAAACCGGTTCCAGTAAATAAAAAGTTTTCCGGGCCCCGGGGTCTACACGTTTGTCATGCCCTTCTTCAGTTCGTGCAGGTCCAGCTGGCTCTGACTGCGTAGTTTGCAGTCTCTGGCCAGGGCCTCGGCCCTCTGCAGCATCGTCTGGTGTAATCCGTTTAAATGCGTCGTTGAGGCCAAGTGTGAGCTGCCGTGGAGGGGCCCCAGAGGGCCGTAGCTGGAGTATCCGGGGATGAAGGGGGAGGTGTAGTAGAGGTGTCGGGGCAGGGCGGGGCTGTGTGAGAACGGGGTCCGGGGCGTGGACGTGTGGTGGACCGAGGCCTGCGGCTGTCCCGGCCCCCCGCTCTGTGAAGAGTCATTAGATCCTTTATTTTTATCCGACGAGGTGGCGATCTCAGCCAAGGACCACAGTTTGGGTTTAGGGGCCGGATTTGGCCCCCGGATGGAGTCGGAGTGCTCTTTAGGCGACGGGCTCGATGTCCGTTCCAGCTCTGACACTCTGATTGGTGCGATTTGAGGAGGGCCCCCTGTGGAGGTGGGGCCCGGGAGGAGGGGCAGCCTCCGGTCCCCGGAGTCTTTAAAGTCCGGGTCGGTGAGGCTTCGGTCGGTGTCGCCGCTGTCCTCTCTGCACGCCGACACGCAGGAGTCTCCAACGGAGGGGGGGCGGCGAGGAGCTGGAGGGGACAGGAAGTGGTCAGCAGGAGAACACGCACACTGACATGAAGGGCTGCAGCTAACGATTCTTTTGATTAAAACAACAACCTTCCCACATATTCAACAAACAAACGGCAGATTCAGTCAGACAATAAAACTATTATCAGCTGCAACAAACAGCTGATCAGCAACCAGAAAATAAAATAATCTGAAATGTGAAGATTTTCAAAATAAACTGAAAAAAAGTCTCTTTGGGTTTTTGGATTATTTCACCATTTTCTGACACTATACAACACTACTACAGTAATACACGTAGTACACCTTTTCTCTCCTCTTTCCAAGTTTTTATTCTTTATTATATTTATTATTTACTGTCTCTCTGTAATCAGTAACCACAGATATCAACACAGTAAAGACGTCAGCTGATCAGATTTTATTTCAAACACTAAAAAAGATTTAGACCCAAACGTTTTTAACGTCTATAAACAGTGGATCAAGTGTCCTTGCAGGACTTGTACTTTACTCGAGTATTTCTATGTCACGCTACTTTTTACTGCACCACATTTATCTGATTCCTACTTTACAGATTCATTTAGACACAAACGTTTTGATCCGAATTTGTCAATAAAACGACGTGAAGTCTTCAAATATCTTGTTATATTACCCGAATACATACGATGAATGTGTATATTTGAAGTACTTTGACTGCATTTTAATAAACTAACAACTGAGTAAAACTGTAAATATATAATAGTGAAACACTCACAGGGGCCAATATTCTGCACTATGAGTACTTTTACTCTAAGTACATTTGGCTTTGATTTAAGTGACACTTTTCAAAACAATACTTGTATTTTTAACTGCAGTAAAGGATCTGAATACTTCCTGTACTGCCGTATATGATCATATATTTTCCTGACTTCAGTTTTATGCACAACTCTTTGTTTCTGTGCTGTTTACGGCTGCATGATAATTATTATCATCGATTAATCTGCAGAATATTTTCTTGATCGATTAATCAGTCGTTTGGTCTTTAAACGTCTTGTTTTGTTTGACCAACAGTCCGAAACCCAAAAAACAGAAGGAAACCAGGAAATCCACTCGTTTCAGAAGCTGGAACCAGCAAATATTTGTCATTTTGGCTTTAATTGATTATTGATTTTCTCTCTGCAGAGGAGCTCAGAGCTGCTGCTGCTGCTAGAAGCTTTCTCTCCTCTCACTCACCGGCTTCGCTCCTCGACTCCGGCTCCTCGTTGTTACTCGGCTTCATCGGCTCCTCGTCCTCGTCGTTGCGCTCCAGGTCGATGTTGTCCTCCTCCTCCTCGTCCTCGCTCCTGTTTCTGGGCGTCCAGGTCATCTTGTTCTCCTTCTTCAGTCGCCGGCGGGCGTTGGCGAACCAGGTGGACACCTGAGTCAGGGTCATCTTGGTGATGATGGCCAGCATGATCTTCTCCCCCTTGGTGGGGTACGGGTTCTTCCGGTGCTCGCTCAGCCAGGCCTTCAGCGTGGCAGTGGCGTCCCGCGTGGCGTTCTTCCTGTAGGTGGGGTCTCCGTACGCGTAGGGCCCCAGGGCCCCGAACGGGTGGTAATCTAAGGAGCCGGAGATCCCCGAGGACGGATCGTACCCAGAAGTCTGAAACATGAAATGATGAAAAGATTAAAAACGCCTTCTCCCTCCCGTGTGAACGCAGCTGTGATCTTTGACCCCAGAGATCTTCTGCCTGTTTTCAGCGTGTTTTCTGCCTGCAGCTTTAACGTCCGTGAGCTGAAGCTGTTTTCTTGGCAGCTCTCTCTGAAAAGGAGATTCCTAATCTTAACGGGACTAACGCCATTAAATAAAGGTTTAATTAAAACACGCAGACAGACAAACAGAATTTAATTTGCACTGAGCACAGTGCGTCCAAAACGAGGCCACGGGCATCACAAACACTCCAGCTGAAACCTTCCTTTAAAAATCACATTATGGATATTTCAACATTTATTTTTCTAATCTTTCTAATTGAAACGTTTTCACACACAAACAAGATTATTGGAGTCAGTTTATATTGATGGATTGTGCTGCAGTTGTTTCAGGTAATTCTTGGATTAATTATATAAAAAGGAAAAAACTAAATGTGAAGTTGTAGCTGCAGGTTTTACTCAACAAATTACTTTAAATGAAAAATATATGGCTTTAAAAAAATGAGTCAACACATTAAATTAAAAATTTGAGAGCAAAAAAACAAACATTGAAGACAAAATGATTTCAGGTTAGGGTTACAATAATAAACAATAATCTGAATTTGTTATTTTCAGCTTCTTATTTTATTTTTTATTCAAATATGGAAATTAAAAACATTAAAGACGAAAATAGAGGAAACACTATGTTTTTAAATTAAACTTTTATCAGTCGACTCTGAAACTGAAATGTTCTGTCACACAGTGAATTAAAAACACCCTTTGAAACCGAACCCACACATTTAAAAGCGACACTTTTCTTTCACGCTCTGAGCTGCATTACGCACCGAAAGTCAACACTTTGGGGGGTTTTTTTAATCACAAACTAGAACCCAGGTGTACCGACCCGCTCCGGTGCGGACACTCACCACAAAGGAGCTGAGGGTCGCGGCGGCCCGGGGCTCTCCGCCGTACGGCAGGTGGGAGTTGAAGCCGGGAGAGGTCGCTGATCCCGAGTACGGAGCGAAGGCAGAGCCCGAAGAGGAGCGGCCGAGCTCCTCAGTCCGCGGTCCTAAGATGACCCCGGAGCCGAAGGACGGGCAGGAGTGCAGAGCCAGAGACACGGACGGCTGGAAGAGGAAACCCTGAGGATAAGCCATGACGGCGCGCACGGAGCCGGACTATTACGCACGGGCGAACTCACATCGGAGAGCGAAAGCGCGCGTCTCCCCGGGACAGCAGAGGGAAGAGAAGAGGAAGAAGAAGGAGAAGAAAAAGAGGGAAGAGGAGTTTTGAAAACGGACCAGCATCCAGCAGCATCGCAGGTGGCAGCCGGGTTTAGTTTGTGTGCGTCTGCTGCAAGTTTTCCACTTCCGCTGCTGCTGAACTGATCACCGCTGAACCCTCCGACAGACTGAACAGAGAGAGAGGGGGGAGACAGAGAGAGAGAGAGAGAGAGAGAGAGAGAGCCGCTGTCATCTCCACCTCATAAACACTAACCACATGCAGCCGGAATCAAACACCCGATAATTAGCTCACGTGCTTGTAAACGTTGTTTACCTGATGTTATAATTCAGCTCCGCTTTGGTTTAAAATGCCACCAAACAAAGAATCCTTTACTTAAATAAAAGTAGTAACACCACAGTCTAAAAACACCAGCAGAAGTCCTGAATTTGAAATGTTACTTAAGTAAAAGTATTATCAGTAAAATGTACTAGATCAAAATGTGAACGTACACATTCTGCAGCAAATTATCATTATAAAATATTAATCTTTTAACAGATGCATGTGAGTATTTTAAAGGTTCAGTGTGTAATATTTAGGAGGATCTATTGACAGAAATGCAATATAATATCTATAACTATGTTTTCAGTGGTGTATAAAGGCCTCACATAATGAACCGGCTCCTCTTACCTGTTTCTACAGTAGCCCAAACAGACAAACTGCTCAACAGAGCGCATTTCATCACTACAATGAATGCATATGAAGTAGTAGTTAGTAGTCTGGTCAAATGGAGGACCACACGTATTATTTAGCACCGTAGCTTCCCCCTGCTCGCTTGCAAAGGGAGGGGGGAGCAGTGACTCTGCTGTTGGTTGCAATTCACAACCCTCTCCACTAGATGGCGCTAAAATGTAGTACGTATACACTGAACCTTTCAAGCTGTAGTTCCTCAATATAGCGACAGTTTTACTGCTGAGTATAGTGCAGCACTGCGTCGTATCCTACAAAAGTGTGAAATACATGTAGAAGTATAAAGTAGCCTAACACGGAAATACTGCTGAACAAGTATGTCAAAATTTAATGTGTGACCTTTTGCTGCTGTGAGAACACAAGCTCATTGGCTGATGGGAGATAAACAGCTGGTGGAGCTGATTCGTTTGCTGTTAAACCCCCACAGAAGAAGAGGACGAGGTGACGTCATGAAAAGAGCAGCAGTCGAGGCTCAAACGATGGAAAACCGCTGGCGCTTTTGTTTCACTTTCAGCCACTGCTTCATATTCACCAAGTCTGTTTCCGTTTATACACAAACTACTTTCACTCCCCACACACTTCAAGTGAAACTGAAAATGTGTGTTAAAACTCGCGGAGATGAGTCAGTCAGACCAGATAATGTGCAGTGAAGGTGGCGACAACACAAAACGTGTTTTTAATCCGATACCAAATAACACCAGAGACAACGTCAGCAGTAATATGAGAATCACTGTTATTAAAAAGTGATGCTTTTCACCTTTAAAATCAGCTGTTGTAATTTGTAAGGGAGATAAAAGTTTCATGATTTATAAGGTAAACACACAATTTATTCCAAATATTCTTTAATTACAGTTAAATCAGCTCATCAAATTAAACACTGTCAGTTGATTTCAGCACTTTTATATGGGGCCACACGACAGAGTGTTAATTTAACTGTCTTTGGAGTTTAGTCCAGTTTTTCACTCTTTATGGAGTTAAAATGTAAAACTTCTCACCAGTGTTAGTTTTTAATAACACTTTATTCTAGTGTTAGACATTAACTCTCTTAGGAGTGTCATTTTTTAACCAGTGTTAAACACTTAAGGTGTTTCCATATTCCTGAGAAAAAAAAAAATTTAAAATTAAGTTTGCAAAATAAAGACAGTCATGTTTGGTGTTTTAAAACCTTTATTTTAACACCTGCACCTCAAAGAATTTTATTACATTACATTAAAAAACAGATTAGAAATGCAAGCTAACCACTAGCTTGTTAAACAGGTGTTAGCGTGGCAGCTAACAGCAAGGCAACATAAGTTTAAGCAGCCGGTTCACATGCTCAGGCATCACATATACACGCTTTGGAAAAAACGTGGCTATTGTACGCAAAATGGCGATTCTGCCCCAGGTTCGTGTGTATTTGACGCCCTGGCGTTACCAGAAACGCTAGTAGCGCTTTTGGTCGCTAACTAGCTAGCGTTGTTTGTGTTTAAGGAGTTGAAAAGAAAAAAAAAAAGGAGTTGACAGCCCCCCGAGGCAACTTGCCCTAACCTTACGCCTAAACCTAAGTCAGTAAATAAATGCTTGTCGACCAGCTAACCCTCAGCCTCACGGCCGATGTGCGCAGCTGAACGGTTAGCCTCCTTTGTGTTGCAACACTATAGCAAACTGCAGCGTAAAATCGCCGTTTTGCAGACATTAGCCGTCACATATACACGCTTTTCCAGATCGGATTGGTTTAAGTTACGGTGGCTCACCTTTTGCAAAACAGCCAGGTGTCAGAAGGAAGAGAATAATCAGTATTAAAAAACCCATTAACAGATACTACTTCATTTACTTTTCAAACTGTGTTAAAGTTTAGACCCAGGTCAAAAGCACGGTGCCCCGTTTCCCAGCAGTCAGTGGAGAGCTTTCACTCCAGCGCCAGGATCAGAGTTTAGAGAGTTAATATTTATATAATTACACTTACAGGTTTGATTTAGCGACACAGAGAGTATCCAGAGTATAATTAACTCCACTTTTAGTCGAAAAGTAATGGAGACCAGGGGCTCCACTACCTGAAATAGGTCTATGTAGGTGGGGATTATTGAGAAAGCAGGAAGAAATACACATTCTGATTTTGATTGTTTATTTAAGCTGTGAAGCGTTTGATAACTTTGAGGAAGCGCAGGGGGGATCTGGCCGTCCTGCCTGTGTGAAAAGAAACCTCAGTCAGTAAAAGTCACGGTTCACAACATAGTATTTAGTGCATCTACTCTGTTCCAGTATCAAATCAGCTCAAACGGGTAAAGCAGGGTTGTCTCCTCAGCAGGGGGCGGAGGCCCAAGCACAGGAGCAAACCATGAAGCATCAACGATGCTGATTTATGGGATTATTCGAGTGTATCTGTTATTGATTTATTGATATAAATTTGTATTTATGTAAATATTCATTCTTGGTGTAAATATTGGTAATATGTAAATATATTCTGTAAATATTTATTATTCTATGTGATGATGATTAATTACCTGCAGTAAGGAGTGTCTGTAAAGGCAGCTAGTTTCTTTCAGTGTAAGGACCTGAGTCCACCAAAGCGTTTTTTCTTGAGACTTGTTTTCCGGTCGTCAAGAGTTGAAAAATGTTCAACTTTGGGCAAAACGCAGTGCTCGTCACTGTTACTTTTTACCCAGCCGTCCAATCGCACCGAGCCATCGCAGCTCTTGAATGAAACGTCCGCAAAATCTGATGAACCGGCGAGTCCGTCCCAAAGCAAGTAGGCCTACCCTACTCTGGGGTGACATTTTTAATCTCAGTAAAATTAAGTAGCCTACTTGCAGCATATCACCGCCACGGAAATTATGTATCATAGCAACCACAGCAACCCCCCCCCCGCCGCTGCGCCTCCAAAGCGCACCGCAGTGCTCCCAGCTTGGCGTTTTCAGCTGGTAAAAAACACTTTGGTGGACAGGGGCCCTAAGTTTTGTTGCTGGTTTTTACATATGGAAGACAATAAATGCCACGATTGTGCCTCTGTTTCTCTCTGGAGAAAACTTAAAGCCGCTTTCCCAGTGTGCAGCATCAGGAGGAGCTCAGAGGAAGACTCAGTATTGGTAGATGCTTTACAGGTGATGCCCTGAAAGCTTTAAAGTTTTAAAAACTCGCCTGCTTCCTGCTGCTTTCTCTCACAGCTGCTGAGATATTCAGAGTTTCAGTCTGTTGTTGTGTTAACGTTGCTCCTCTCGGGTGAGGTCAGTTTGTGTTTGAGCTCAGCTCGCAGTCTAATCTCATTTGTGGGGGCTATAATTAGAAGAGCAGGGTGACTTAAGGGAGACTTTCCTCCCAGCAGGAGAAGAGTGAAAGTATTCACTCTGCACTGAAAAAAGTCTTTATTAGTCTCTTTGTGATGTTGTCACCACGCGGCTTCTCTCCTGGATGAGCAGGACGAAGCTCTGCAGCCAGGATTTCCAGGTTTGCCAGGTAAGAGCCGAGCCAGCCGGCCCTCAGGTCGCCGGCCGATCTGACGGCTCCTGTCAGGAGCTTCATTGATTAAATTGATCCTAATTACTGAACGATCCAGCAGCTATTTAAGGTGGCAGACCTGCCTGTCCGGCTCGTCTCTGTTTGTTTTTCTTTATTTAAAGAGCTGAAATAGTTAATAAACCTTTTTATTATTAGCTTGAAAACTAACATCAGAAAACAACAAAAGATGATGTCACAATATCTTAGTGCAACATGAAAAAAGTAGATTTTAGTGGATCTTGTAACTCATGTTTTTATTCTTTTAGTCTTACTTCTATGTAGGGGAATACAGTTCCCATGATGCTTTGTGGGATGGAAACAGGAAGTAAAATGTTGCCACTGAGTTAGCTTTCATTTAGCAGACGATTTTATCCATTGCGACTTACAATTGCTATACATGTCAGACATCGCACGCCTCTGGAGCAACGAGGGGTTCAGTGTCTTGCTCAGGGACACACTGGATTTTAACCCGGGTCTCTCACACCAAAGGCATGTGTCTTATCCACTGCTCCACCACCACAATTTATCGTATTGTCTCTAATTACAGTAGCTGAATTAGGTGTTAGCAGCTCCTGTTGTTTTTACCACACCTGCCCCTTTGGCCTCACGCAGTATCTTTGCCTCGCCAGTTTAAATAGTTGATATATTATAATGTAAAATTTTGGTTCTCTTAAGTTCTCAATATTTTAAGAAATGTCTCAAAACAAAGACTTACACTATCTTTTTTTTCATCACAGTGGCGGAAATGGGCTTCCATACATATATGTTGTTTTGGGACACTTAACTATTAATCTGTTAAGTCGTTTAGGTTCGCTGATGCCACTGCCAGATCAGGAGTAAAGATCATCACCGTCAGGGTAGATTTACAGGAAACAACTTTGACTCTGTGTTTTAACAGAGCGTTAAATCAAACAGAGCTAAATGATTTGTGACCAACACCAGAAATGTTCCTCTCCTTGGTTTCCTCTATAGACT